AGTAAAGACATTAAAAAGTGAATTTTGCCCCCACACGGTATCAACAAGTTACATTCATTTATTAAAGTTTGAAAAAAATACAATTTTAAAATATGATGTGACAATGATGAGTTAGGTTGTCTGTACCAAACCTGCAACTTGTAACTGTAATTAGATATTGTTAATATTCCTTTTTTTTTTATTTAACAAACAAATTCTTAATATTTATCCAAAGAAATAGTAAAACACTTATATTAATATGTCTTCTTTATGAGTTGCAGTTATCAGTTTATTTGTGCTTTCTATTCGAGCTTAGGTTCATATTCGTGGGACCATTCGGTTTATGATTTAAGCATGATTATGCATATCTATATGGGAGAAAATCAGATTTTTTATTTTGAAAATGTTGTCGAGTAACACTGTAAACCTCCAAATAATTTCATTTACACTATAAACTATCAAAATGATTTTGCCAACACTTTAAATATCAAAATGAGCCTGTTATTTTTGCTATCATAATATATATATATATATATAAACAAATTATATAAATTTTAAAATTAACCTTTTTCAAAATATGATTTTCACTATCTATATATTTTGTTTGATTTATTATGATCACTTTATTGCTTCCAAATAATCATCTATTTAATTCCTAAACGTAATTATATATATGGTTGAAATAAGCGTAGGTATACCTTTATTTAAAAAATCACTATAAGAAATATAACTATTATATCATCTAATTTCTAATTTTAGTTATTTCATATTCTCTCTGTTTAATTTTCTAAGATGTTTTTAGATACTTTATTTTGTTTCACAATATATAATGTTTTTTTTTTTGGTCACCAATATATAATGTTTTAAAAGAGTTGAATTTCCAAGCAAAAATTAAATTCCTTATGAATATTAACATAACGTCTTCGTCATAGCTGTTTTGTCAAAGATTAAGAATTAGATATTGGTGTAATATATATCCACTATTATGTGTTAAAACTTTACTAAAAAGTCTAAAAATATCCAAAACTTTGAATCGAAAATAAATATCTGAAATAACAAAATCTTTTCATGGCTGAAGTGAACTCTCTGAGAATCATATCATCCCATGAAGCAGTCGCGAAAGACTGAGAAAACAAAAGCAGAAAAAAAAGGAATCTACTTTTCAATGGGGTCACGTACGCACCAGTGGCTATAGTATGAAGACGTACGGACATTATTCATTCTTTAATATTTGCTCCATTTTTTTAAAAAATAACGTGAATACGTTTTTTTTTAATATCTCTGTTTATACATTTTTTTCTTTCTATTGTTTACATTGCAACCTACGCAATTTTTCTATGAAATGTTATTTTTTCAAAAGAAATATGCATAATTTTCGACACAATTTTAATTCCGAAAAGCTATGTGGGTCAACAATAATTTGAATGCCCCACACCACGGTCTTGTGCTTGGTAAGTAAAAGTCAACTCTTAGATTATATAGTAGTATTTTTTAATAAGAATGTTAATATTATTATTTGAAAATTATTACTTGTAAACTGTAATTTTCACGGCAAGCAAATAATTATATCCAGAATAATAAATTAATTTTAAGATATTTTTCACAGTAAAAAGAGTAAGAAGTCAACAAATAACTAAGAAAAAGAGATAATGACGTTCGACCTAACTAATAAAAAATTTATTGACATTATGTTAAAAATTAAAAATACATATCAATTGACAAATAACATGAATACACAAAATCAACACAAAAAATAATTATAATTTAGGAATAACCAAACGACAAAAAACAAAAAAAAGAAGCAGGGGTGGATTGATAAATTAATTGTTCATTAAATTGAAGTAAACGTAAAGGATATGGGAAAATAAGTTTTAAATATTAAAAAGACAGAACAGTGGGCTTTGTCAAAAGCGGTTTTGATCGAAACCAGGGGACTTGTTCTTCAGTAATCGTGGCTCTTAAGACGCCAGTTGTCACATCTTATATTATTATTATTTTTAGTCTTTTTCAGGAAAAAAAAGTAATACTATTTTAATTAATATTCATATGCTCATATGCTATTTTTAGTCAATGTCTGGTTGCTGTCGATTTTTTTTTTAAAAATCAACAAATTGCATTGGGACGCATACTTCAGATAAGATATAGGATGATTTTGTAATTGCCCATATTACATTTTTGCTATTTCAAGATGATTGATTTTTATATTTATTCTCCTCTTTCTTATTTAAATCAATCAAGACGATATTTATTTTAGTTTCTGTGAACAAATGATTTTAATCCATCATTGATCATTTTATTCGATTTCTTTTTTTAACCCCGGTTATTTGAATAAAATATTCGAAGGTTTATACAAATGGCTTATTTAGAGCCATGAAAACAACTTAATATAATTAATTTAGATTGATATAGTTGATGACTAATTTGATGATATCCTCGTGAAACAATTTCTTATAAAAAAGATATTTGAATAGTGAGTGATGCTGACGCGGCAAATCGGGTGTAAAGTAGATATCCAGCTCAGACCAAACACATGTGATTGGCTGATTCATATTTTGAAAACACTATTAAGTTTTTTTTTAATTATTGATTGATTGAAAGATCAAAGCTAATTTTTAGTTTAAATGAACTTCTAACCACTAATCTTATCCTCTTAATTAGTTGTATTGCCCACCGCCTCATATATTTTATTTTTGTATTTTACAGTGTAATTCCATTCTATTGGATAGACGGAATATTATTCAATAGTTTTTTTTTTTCAATTTAGTAAAATAGTTATGTGACATCAAATAGATTTACAGAATCGAGTAGATGTAAAACGTACAATCGTTTTATTTTTAGTATAAAGTCGATCTTTCACTGTCCCAACTATATTTTGAGGTTATGCATTTTGTAATTTTGTTTATTGGTGGTAATGCCATAGTTCCATTTAATACATATGTGGTGCATATAGCAAAATTATTATATAACTGTTTTTTGTTTTGAATTATTGTATAAGAAATTTTCAAAACGATCTAACACTAAAACAAAAGAAATATATATATATATATATTTGAATGAATGTATATTTTATTCAATAAGGAAACCATTATTACATCAAGTGTGTTATTTTTAAAGTTTGCTAAATTATCTATAGCCTAGAACTTAGATACGACTATTAAGAAGCATACATAACAAATTTATGGACGTTTCTGTAAAAACGGAGAAATATCAAATCAAAATATTCTACTAAATTTCAGAAAATCATGCAGTAATTGACAAATAAATAAAGATTACTAACTATTTTTGTCAACTGATTAGTTTAATGTGTAGTGTAGAACTCCACATCGTGATATCTTGATGATTGTGATTCATGTTTTGACTTTATAAACCGAAAAGTATAATTAATTACAAAAACGAAAATGGAAGACATATGGTTTCTACGTTTTAAATATATATATATATATATATGGTAATGCAAAAATGTACGATGTCATACGTACAACGAAAGGACGAATAAGAATATTAACAAAAGCCAGCTCATTTGACGAAAGCAATAATTAAGTATGTATTAGAAGACAAATCAGATCACATTTGTTAAAATCAATAATTAAGTATGTATTAGTGTATTAGTAGTTTAGTTCCCTAATTAAAACAAACACTCCAAAGTCCAAGTTTTTAAACACAAGAAAACATATTCGTGCTGTACCGCTTTAACTTTCACGAAACCCACCTTTTTGGGTAATTTTGTTTTCTACTGTTTCTTTTTACATGCCAACGTTGGAAAAATCCAAAATATATATCTACAATATATATAGTCTTAGATTTTTTGATATATTTTGACTACACATGTCGAAAGATGAATCCACAAACTTAATAACATAAGAAATGTGAAACTGCTATGGTATACAAAAGACAAAAGAGTCCAACTTATTTTGCCAAAACAGTCTATGGAAATAATCGGATAAAGTTTTTGATATGGATAATGTATTACTGAAATCAGTGTGTACAGTGTGCATAACTGGTGAAGATTAAGCAGGAGGTCTTTGTACCATCCATACCACTATAGTTGAATTCAGTTCAATAGCCATTTCGTTTTTACCAATCAATTTCAATTTTTTGGTTTATTCAGAAACCATTTCGCAATTTTTTTTTTCCCAATTTTCGTTCAATTAACATAAAATGCAAAATATTTTATCATTAATTATAAAATCCAATATTATTAATGTTATGTTTGTAGATTATTTTTTTAGGATTGAATATTCTATTTTAATAGTAATTTGGTTATATATATATATATATATATATATATATATTATTTTTATTTATAAAATACGCTAGAATGTATTACTTGTGAAAAAGCACTATAGGAAGATTTTTAAAAAAAGAGAGAAATTTTTTGGTATCATGTGTAATTTTTCAATTATACATGATTACCAATATTTGTTTTGTTAATTACTAATAAAATAATAATACATTTCACCAAATTTTCAGTACAAAAATGCATGGCTATGCCTATACTATTTGCAAATTTTTCAAAATGTTTAAATGGGATTATGAGGTTTTTTACTATTTACAAATTTATTAGCTTTTTACATTTCGACGTTTTTGAAACGGTGAAAGCAGAAAGTGTAATATACTAATGTACATTTTATGTGTTTTTTTAAATAATAACAGAGCCTACGATAGTTAGAGTTCTTTCATATATGGCATGACTCATTGCCACAAACACCATGCTCACCTTAAAAATCAAATCTCTATTTTAAATCCTCTATTTATAGAAGTCACGATAAACCAACTTACGAATTGATTCAACCCAATACTTTGTCAACAGATTTGTCTCTTAAGGTAAACAACCTATATGTCTTTCACTAATCATTCTAAACAAAAACTTATCTAAAATCAAGTGTTATTCTTGTAACTCTTTTTAAGTCATCGAATTATATAACAGTTTGTTGAAATTTATCCAAACTCAAATCATCTAAATTGTTTGATTGATAGCAGTCTGTTGTTTGGTCTTAACAGAATCTAATATGAACAACCAATTGATCATAAACTTCTATATTCAAAGCTTAAGCAATGTAATAATCAGTACATACAATGACATAATATATAGAGAACCATAAACCGAAACCAGAATCTGTCATTATAATGCCATAGATAGCTTCACAGTGCAAAATAAGATTTCAATACTAATTAAGTCTCAATTATTTCACCTCGAACCAGAGATCTCGGTTACATAATGTTTAGGGCTTATTTGAGACATTGGTCAGTCCAGAGAGGTTCACAAAAGGTTTTTAGTTGGTTCACTTCCACTTCTTGAATTTGCCTCCAAACATTCCATGCTTCCCATGCTTGAACTTTCCGTGCTTCCCATGCTTGAACTTTCCATGACCATGACCATAACCATAGCCATGACCATGATGACCAAAGCCGTGACCATATGCAGCATGTCCATAAGGGCTGTGAGAGCTATGAGCTATGTGGTGAGCTCCATAGGCAGCAGCAGCACCTGCAATCATACCCCCAATTCCTCCTGCGTGTCCTGAAAGAAGTAGAGGTAACTGCATGAAGAAAGAAACTAAAGGGAAAAACAGATATACTGCATGATGAATCTGCAAAGTTGTCTTTATGATTCCCAAATTGATATAAAAAGGATTTAGTGTTACTTAATAAATTAACAAAACTTGAATTGAATGGTGCTATACAAGAACACTTTGGACAAACAATATAGGCATATAGCCAATAATCATAAAATCTACAAAAGGGAAGTCAAAAGGTGTTCAGTTATTGGAATACAAACTCTTGCAACTATAACAATCAATGACTATGGATTCCCGTTAACTACAAGCTTAATTTATTTCAGCAGATTCTATGTTTCAACTTCTTTCTAAGTGACTTTTAACACAAACTACGATTCGATACTAATCTTAGAATTTCACAGGGAACATAGGGACAAATACACTGCTTCAACTTCTTTCTAAAGTGAAATCTACCACATATATGATACTGAATTTGAAATTATCAAAATACTCTGTTTCAAAATCTTTATAAAGTGACTTCTAAGATTTCGCTAAACTGCAAGGGTTTTAAGTAACATTAGCAAAAAAAGATAGAGTACCAGAGTGATGAGCAGGATAGCCAGCAGGAGGGTAACCACCATGACCAGGTGCAGGAGGATAACCACCATAACCAGGGGCAGGAGGATAGCCACCAGGTGCTGGGGGATAACCACCAGGCGCCGGTGGGTATGCACTTGGAGGATAACCTGCAGGTGGGTAAGCACCAGGTGGTGGAGGGTAACCTTGTTGCGGGTATCCAGCAGGTGGATACCCAGGAGCCGGCGGGTATCCAGCAGGAGGATACCCATGAAAACCTTTGTCATTGTCACCTCCCATGTTTTCTATCAATCAACAATACAACCTAGACATAAAAAAGAATATCAAATTAGGTCATCCCAATAACTGGACAAACCAATCAACTTCAACATCAGGGAATCACGCAGAAAAACCAAACTGATTATGTCAGACATCAAAACTTTCATCAGGGGATCAAGCAGACAAACCAGCAATGTAACAACTCATGGATTAAATAAAAAGATTCATGTAACTAATCTCAATAAAATTGCACAAACCAAGCCTAAAGTATCAAGCTTTCTTCAGGGGATCGAGCAAACACACTAGAGTCAAGTAATGAGATAAACCACCAATGTCACTAATCATTGATTAGGCCAGAGATCAGTGTAAATCTCAATCAAATTGCACAAACCAAGCAATAACTTCAAGAGTAGATCACACAGGCAAGAGTTAAACCAGCGTTAATAAAACAGAAGATGAACAAACAAAACCCTAAATTCATAATTTTTATTTTGCCACATTCATTATTCTTCATATACCCCAAACAATAAAAAAAACCAAACCTTTTTGGGTTCTGTTCCCAGCAAACAGAAAAATACGATTTTTTTGTTTTACAATCAATACGATCGAACCAAAAACAGAAGAGAAGTTTAAAGAACAAAGATCTAAACTTTCATTGATTACAAAAACAATAGTTGCGAGTAAAATTCAACAATTGCAAAGAGATCTAAAAGAAGAAAAAGATGAGAGCTTTTTTTCTTTACCTGAGAGACGAAATCACCAAAGATGTGGAAACGTAATTGGAAGAGGAAGAAATAAAAATCAAGACACTGGAGGAGATAACTACTACTTATACATGTTTCCTTACGCGGCACAATTTCCAAACAAGCTATGTTTTCATCTTTAGTCCTTGTATTTTTAGAACAATCACAATTTGTTATTTTAGCTTTCATAAATAGAGATTATGTCCAAACTTATTAACACGAAGAACGACAATGTAAGTTTGTAACAGTTCCGATGTTCTTTTTTTGATATTTTTCTTGAAAGATTGTTTATTTTTTTTTTCAATTTGGAATGGTTATTAACTTCTTGTGGGGGTGTTTATGAAATATAAGAAACTTATAGGGTAAAAAGGAGAGAAAAATGATTATATTTTCTAACTTACAATATTTTAGCGTTGCGAAAACGCGCACTGAACGCGTGATTCTTTTACATACGTATGGGATAAAATTTCTACTTTTTTGGATAAATGCCAAAAGAATCGAATCTACACAAAATCCCCCATACATTATTTTTGACTTACAATATATATTTTCCCTAATAAGCAATATTACATTATTGTACATCATAGAGATAACCATTTTTATGTAGAAGAATGGTTTCTAGAATATATAACTGCTATCAACTTTATTTACAACTAATCAGTTCTAACCAGGATGAATTTGCAATGTTGTTTGACTGAGAAATATAACAATAGCTATTAGAATTGAAGAGCAGGCCAAATATCCGGTATCAAATTATTAATTTACCAAAAGGATTTACTGGAAAAGTTGGAGCTTAGTTACTAGATGTAACACCTTTTTAAGGACATTAGAGCAAATCACATACAATGACATATATTATAACTTACACAAAGCTAATAAGACTACTAGCTACTTTTGATTCATTGAAGTCCATAGAACACAGGCAGAATCAGGTGACAGAGAAAGAGACAGAGATAGAGAGAGGCAAGACCTTCTGAAATTTGACAAAAGGCTGAGACTTTTGATCAGCAGAACCTCAGCGTACGTTCCAATTCCTGTTCATCTTCGCAGTTGTAGCCAAGTTCAAAAGCTCGTGCTGCGATGAAAAGAAGACGCAAACTGTTCACTTATATGTTGGATATAAAAGGAATAAATGGAAAGGGAGGCAAGAGAGAGAGATAGATATGTACCCAATCGGCTTTTATCTGTGAATACTTCAAGTTCTAGTTCAGCTTCTTCCTCATAGAACCCATCTGCGTCTGGATCAGTTTGTACAAGCAAAGTTTCAGAACAAAGTCCTGAGATAGTACACACCATGAGATCACCCTCCGGGCTCAATATTACTTCCTTGCAGTTGTCATCACATACTGTTGTAAAGACCATAAAAATCATATAAGATTCAAGAAAAAAACCACAGGCATTAAAGTTACATTTTTACAGCATTTCATACCATGAACATTTCCTGTCTCTTTGCATATGAACACATCGTCAATCTGATGGTATGAACATTTAGTCCCCAAACAAATATGGCCAGTGACAACCTTATCGGCAAGTCCTTTGCTTTTCTTCCATAGAGACACTTGTTCAAGTACAGTTTTGTCAAGAATTATTCTGTCATCCACCATCTAAACGTTGCAAACAAGAACATGAGAAATTTTTTGAACTAATAATTCATGCCAAAACATAAACAAATACTTATAGAAATAGTTACCTCAGATGGAAGAGGAGCTTGGCTTCTCTTTGCTGCTTGCATTTGAATGTAATACTCTTTGAAATCTGACGGACATGTTCTGACAAGTTCAATCATGTCCTGCTCGTCACGCTAAAATTCAACAAAAGAAAGGAATCACTTGAATATATATGAAGTATGAACTCTAATAACATTGTATATACTCCTCAATAATGTAATCTTAAAGCAAACAAGTTTAGACAAATAACCAAGTGAGATACTCACATCAATATAAAGCTTCTTCCAAGCAGACTCACGTAACTTTCTAGTTGGAGGAGTTAGTCCCCACCGGATACAGTATCTGAAAATAAAATCAATCAAAATTGTACCAATATCAGTTTTAAATACAAACTATTGATTTTGAAGGTAAAATTCTTATCGAACTACAAGAGCGAATACGAGAGGAGACTACTTACAGGCGACGCCATAAGGATTCATCAGACGCAGCAAAATTGAGAAATCTACACACCAAAGAGCATGATACAAGATCCTGTAAATCACATTCAAACAATTTCGATTAAAAATAAGCAGCAAATTAAGATGTTAAATTAACGATTAAGAAGGCACATGAAATGAAATACCTCAGAGGATAAGAACTTGAGAATATGACGAAAGAGCTCCGTAGGAACACTGCTGAGAACTCCACTCTCTATTCTCTTTGCACCAGTTCTATCTTTGTTACCATCTTCCTTTTGATCTTCATCCTTCTTCTCTACAGCGTTTGTTTCTCCGTCTTTCTCAATACGTTGCCGTTTTGCTTCAGGTTCTTTCGCTTCCTGTTCCTACAAAACCCCCCAAAAGCACCAATAAAAAACGTTGAACAAGAGCTAAACTTACAATTCACAGTAGACAGAAATTTATAAATTTCACATCAATATGCTTACTTATAATTTCATATAATATGCATATAATTTCATATAATATGCTTATATTTTCATAAAAGTCAAGTACGAATTACACGGAAAAAAACATCAAATTTACGATCTAAATTACAGATCAAGGAATTAAAGTCATCGAAAATTCGCAAAAAAAAAGGGAAAATTAAAAAAAAATGTCGATAGGTTTCAGATTCAGTGACAAAATCCAATATTACAAAACCCTAAATAAATTTGAAAATTTGAAAAAAAGAAGAAAAAAATTACCGACGAGACTTCCGATTCGAGGAATCGAGCGAAACACTCATCTTCATCATCGGAACCAGACATATTGTTCAGCTGGTGAAGATTGAAGCTCCGGCGATGATGGTTGTTGTGTTTATGCGGCTAGGGAAGGATAAAGAGGAGAGAGGAGAGAGGAGAGAGACGAGAGACGAGAGGATTGGGCGATTTGGAACCGGTGGCGTGAGATTGGAGGCGACCTCGGGCCGACAAGTTTTAATAAATGGGCCTCATAAACAAAATGGGTTTATTTATAATAATAATAACTAAGCCCATAACCCTCTTACTTTTCATTTCTCAACCTCAAAAGTCAACGTCATTGATAGTACTAATTTAATCCAAATTAGCTCTTCCTACAAAACTTGATTAATTTAAATAATGACATTTTTCAAATTAACATAACGACGTGTGACCTACTACTACTAGTACTAATATATTTATTTTATTTTCTATTTTGGAAAAAGAAAAATAATTACTTTCCCTTCAATAGAAAATAGAACATTGATTTTTTACCATTTTTTACAGTTTAATAATATAATAAGATTTCTCATCATTTTTACAATTTCTTTTACCAAACATATTTTATAAATTAAAACCTCTTCAGTTAAAAATTTCACAGACAACATTTTTTTACGGTAAAGTCATTATAGCTATAAATAAGTACCGTTACCAAGTTACACTATAATTTTGTCTGTTGTTTTTTTCATTTTAAGGAAAAAAAAATATTATTGTGATTAAAATTATTACAAATATTTTGAGAGAATATAAGCACATTAATCTTTTTTAAAAATGGAATTATATCAGAAATTTTTTTAAAGTAGGATATATGATCATATTTAACACTTGTTATAAATTAATATGTTTTTATTAAACTATATAGATATAGAAAATAATCTGGCAAAAATATTACTAGTAATTTTTTAATCAAATTAGGTATGCTTTAAAATTATTAGTATTTTAAGAAAATATCATATTACTAGATGTTGTATACACTACTGTATTTACAAGTTTAATTTTCAACGGTAAACATGTTAAACTTTCTTTTGATGGAAATATATCAGAATTTTATTAAACTATATATTAAAATAAAATAATCTGGCAAAAACTAAAATGTTTACATTTTTTGTTTTGTCTTTAAATTTTTTTTAAAAAGCATAATAACTTTTATTTTTCTTTTGTCAATCCAAAAGCTTAATAATTAATTTAAGACCAGATAGAAGAAGAAACCAAAACGACTAGGACGAGGAGAAAGAAGTAAGAACCACAATTTGAAATATTTAGGAGAAGCAAATCAAAGGATCTTAATTGCTTCTACAGGTGGGCACAGGTCTACAAGTGCGCGGGCACAGGTGTTTTATTTCACTTCTTCGATTAGGTAGAGCGAAAGAGAGAGAGAGAGAGAGAGAGAGTTAATATGGCTGTTCCGGCGATTGTAAACGGCGGCGATGCGACGGCGAGAGAAGCACAAATGGCACACTCTGCAATGACTTTGGTTCAGGTGATAAATGGAGGTTACCATGTGATTACGAAAGTAGCTCTTAACGTTGGTGTGAACCAGCTCGTCTTTTGTGTCTTTCGAGATCTTCTTGCTCTCTCCCTTCTCGCACCTCTCGCCTTCTTCCGTGAAAGGTCTCTCCTTTATACTTTTTTCACAATAAATACTTTTTTCCTTACTCATTTGCTTGAATTGTGTTGAATCGTTTAAAATCTGAAAATTTTTCATTTGGTCAATGCAAAGTTCTGATTTTGGTTTGATGGGTTTATCTTATATGCAGCAACAATCAACATATCATGATAAAAACTTGATATTTCTGAAATTGAAATTAGGGGTTTGTTTTGTCTTCTCTCTGTTTGTTGGATAAGTCTAGCATGGGAAGCATCTTTGTTCATTCGGTTTATACTGTTTGGCTTTGATATTGTTCTGTTTAGTAAAGATTTGACTTGAATCCATGGTCTTTAGTTTGGGGAACTGATCAGATTCTGTTTTGGAGATTAATATTAGTAAGTATTGGTTCTTCTTTTATCATTTCAGAAGGATCAGACCTCCTATGAGTAAAAGCATCCTCTTTTCACTCTTCTTTCTGGGTTTAGCAGGGTAAGTAATCAACTCAATTCTCATTTCTCTTTTAAAATCTTGATGGGAAGATTCTAATACCATTTGAATCTCTCAATGTTGATAGGATATTTGGGAACCAATTACTATTTCTTATGGGTTTATCGTACACGAATCCAACCTATGCCGCTGCTATACAACCATCAATTCCTGTCTTTACATTCCTCTTGGCTGTCATGATGGGGTGAGTATGAGTTTCCTCAACATTACTGTAAAATGTGAAATTTTGGTGTAGAGAAATTTGTCATTTGTCATTTGTGTATATAGAAATCTCTTGATGTTCTTCTTCTTTGTATGCAGTACAGAAAAACTGAACTTGTTTAAGATTGAGGGCCAAATGAAAATTGGAGGTACACTTGTTTGTGTTTCGGGTGCTGTAGTGATGGCTTTGTTCCGTGGTCCAGCCTTGTTTGGAGGTATAGATGCAGCAGACTCAGCAAATAGTGTAATAATTAATAGAAATGAACCACAGCCTAGTGGGTGGTTAGTCTTTAGTTTTCTTGGTCTTGGCTTTGATCTATGGCACATTGGAGTTATATGCTTGATTGGAAACTGTATGTGTATGGCTGCTTTTCTCGCTGTCCAAGCACCGGTTTTGAAGAAGTATCCTGCCTACCTTTCGGTTACCGCGTATTCGTACTTCTTCGGTGCATCAATAATGATCACAACGGCTTTCGTTTTTGTTAGAGAGCCTAAAGATTGGAGTTTGACACAATCTGAGGTTCTTGCTGTTATATTCGCGGTAAGTTTTTACAACTGAGATGTAACATGTTCATATTGGGTGTGTTCAGAGCCGTGTGTTTGATACAAAAGACTGGACATTGAGCTCAAAAAGATTGGAACGGATTCATCTAACTAGTTTGTCCTTTTTCTCTTTTCGGATTTTGTTCCTCAGGGAGTGTTTGCATCAGCTTTAAACTATGGACTCTTGACTTGGTCCAATAAAATTCTTGGAGCTGCTTTGGTTTCTCTATACAATCCTCTTCAGCCTGCAACATCCGCCTTTCTATCGACAATTTTCCTCGGCAGCCCGATCTATCTTGGAAGGTTTTTTTCAAAATTTCTACTCTTCCTTGCATCTTGTGATCCATCCACACACATTAAAAACCTTTGTCTCTTCTGATTGTATTGAATCATATAGTGATATTTTCGTTTCTCTGCGCAGCATTGTGGGTGGAATCCTCATCATTTGCGGGCTTTATATGGTTACTTGGGCATCTTATAGAGAACAACAAACAACAAAAGAATCTGGGAATGAGATTGCTTCTTCTAGTGATGTCAGAATCTCAGAACCTTTGATTTACAGAGATGAGACGGGTAAATTATTATGAACAGGTAAAGAAAAGAACAATTTTTTTTGAGTTCAACATTGATTGTATAAGTGACTAAAAAAACAAAGATTCAAAATATTCATCTTCCTCATGTTCATCTATGGAAAAACATCTCTGTTCTGTTTCTCAAGAATTGGTGATATACGGTTTTTATAACTGGGTGAAAAACGAAACATTCAAAACTCATTTTATCTGAGAATCTGAACAGTAATTAAAAATTCGATAATTAGAAATGACAGCAATTTGCAAATTATCAAAAGAAAAATGAGCAGTTTCGTAAATACAATAACATAAATACCCAAAGATGTGGTCGAAAGCTCGTATAAACAAAAATGTGTGGGGAAAATTAGTATATATGAAAATGTGGTGTTCAATTCGTAAATACCAAAACATGTGAGGCAAAGTCGCAAAGACCCGAAGGATGTGGGGAAAAAATAGTAAAGACCAAAAGACACGGAGAAAATTTGTATATACGAAAAAGATGTGGGGAAAATTCGTAAAGACCCAAAAGATGTGGGGGAAAATTAGTAAATACCAAAATTCGTGGGGCAAAACTAGTAAAGACCAAAATGTGGGCAAATTCTTAAAAACCCAAAACATGTGGGGCGTATTGGTAAATACCAAAAGGTGTGGGGAAAATTCGAAAAGACCCAATAGATTTGAGGCAAATTCGTAAAAACCAAAAGTGGAGGAGGAAATCGTTAAAAACAAAATGTGGGAAAAATCGTAAATACTATAAGATGTGGTGCAAATTCGTAAATACTGCATATATACACTGAACTCTTCGAGACTATCTTCAATTAGGCATGACCAAAAGCTAACCTTAACCGTATTTTTAACCGTAACCGGACCGTTTATCAACCGTAACCGGACCGTAACCGTATAAAACGGTTAAAAATTGTAACCGTTAACCGTAAAAGTAAATTAGTTACGGTTAAAAAATAATAATAACCGTAACCGTTAATTAACCGTAATTAATCGTCGGTTAACCGTACGGTTAAACGCTCGGTTAACCGCATATTTAAAATTTTAAAATAAATTATATTATAACTGTATACAATACCCAGATTTAACTAATTCACTATAAATAATTGAAATCAGATATATTTTTTACTTGTAAAATAAATAATATTTCATAAAATTTTATCTCCAATATTAATATTATAATAATCATCAAATAACCGTAACCGTATTTAACCGTAACCGTAATTAACCGTAACCGTATATAACCGTAACCGTCTTAACCGTATATATAATGATTAAGGTTATGGTTAAAAAAATTATAACCGTTAACCGGTGGTTAATTAACCATAATCGTATTAACCATAACCGTGGTCATGCCTATCTTCAATGACGATGTGTAGTTCAATATACTGCGTACACTGAACTTTTCTACTATTTATATTATGGGGAATATAACAAAGTGTTATTACACACATTCCTTACCACCGAAGGCCTCGTACGTAACATGTGTTATTAGACACATTCCTTACCACCGAATGACCAAAGTATGACAAGTATGTAACTTCATTAATATCTTAACAAAATAATTGCATTCTCCAAAGCTGCTAATTTGATGTTACTCATTCGTTGAGAGAAGAAAATAAGAGAAATGTATGTTAGTATTAGAGTGTATATAGAATTGGTTTAATTCTGGTTATCTATATTGTGTATAGTGTGGTCTTCCTTCAGTATTTTTTTTTGCTAAATCTGTAAATATCATATAAGAGAACAAAGTTCTGAATTACATGAAGGAGGGCTTAGCAGAAGTTGGTTCCTTGCCAAAAAACATAAAAACAAGGAAACAAAACGAAGATTAATACAAGAACATCAAAGATTTACAGCAGCAGTAGTCACATTATCCAGCGGGACATTAGAGCCTTGAAGCTTTTTCTATGCCGACGGGCAGTGATAGAATTACGAACCTCCCGATCTATAAGTTTAAAGATAACCAAATGGTTGATAATCTGAGAATTATGGAGGACGTTATTCCGCTGTTTCCATATCGCATACACAGTTGCTTGGGCTGCTAGCTTTCTCAGAGTAGGAGGTGATGATCTGCTTCTTAACATAGTCCAAGAGATGAGATGTTCCCAGTCCCGAAACAACAAAGGTGGAAGCCTTAGCCTTTCGAAAACCTTTTCCCAGATGCAACGGCTTGTTGGGAGCCTATCTAGCTTTCTCTTGTATTTAAGCTTTCTCTTGTATCACATTTATATTTTAATGAACGTTTTACGATAATCTAAAATGGTATCAGAGCATTTTCCCCCAACATGGCTCTGATACCATTTCAAATCTAACAAACTTTGATATAATAAGTTTCGTTAAAGTGTAAATATGATACAAGATTTTACTTAAATACTAAGGACAGTTCCACTCGAGCTTTTTACTAGGGTATACTTATGTTTAATAGGGGTCCAAATTAAATGACAAAACATTGAGTAGGTTCCCGTTGTAAGAGGATCGTTACCTCTAATAGCAACTTAAGAAACCAGTAAGCAACGACACGTGTCAGTATTTGACTAGCCGATAAAAAATATATATAAAAAAGAATTAATTATATTTTGTATTAATTTTAGCTAATACAACTCCAATGCATTATATACTACTTCCTCCGATAGCTTCTTGAATTCCAAATGTTGTTTTCAGATCCATTATGCTTTGATCTATATTTCAGCGGTTTCTAGATTCCTGATTAAAGAAAATATCAACAAGAGCGGACAGTACTGACCTAGTAGCTAGATATGAAAGTTGTAACTTAAGTATCGTACGAGTGTATGTACAATTAGATCACTAATGACATCACTGTTCAAGTGGAAAACATTAAATAGCAAGAAAACAAAAACCATTGACTTATTGAATAACGAAATTATTGACTTTCTCACCCCAATTTCCATCACCAATAATGTAACAAATTTTCTAAATATTTTAATTTCTGACAATTTGTGTGGATAGCATCTTTTACGTATACATCTCTTTGGGAATGGTTAATCGATTATAAAAAAAAAAAAAAAAGATTCAATTTGCTTTACAAGTATATTATAATAAGATTCCTTTTAAAATTGAACTATCAAGATTCTTTCCAAGTGACGATTCTTTATGTATAGTTTATACAAGAGCGAAGAATCTTTCCATTATCACTCCCTACAAATTCCATGAGATATTTCACTTTTCATCAATAACGTAGAGTGAGAAGAAGAAGAAGAAGAAGAAGAAGAAAGAATGGCCACGTGTCCTCCTTTTGATTTCTCGGCCAAATATTACGACGGTGACGGCGGTGGCGGATGCGAGAGGCGGAGCAGCTTCTTCGGAGGCACGACGGTGCTGGATCAAGGCGTTGGCTACGCCGTTATTCTTGGTTTTGGTGCTTTCTTCGCCGTCTTCACATCTTTTTTGGTTAGTACTCCTTTCTTGATTACATAATATTTTCTTATGATCAAAGCAAGATAACTTATGTGTGATTTGCTCGTGACCACAGAAAATAGTAGTTATAGTCAATGACTTGTACTAACAAATAAAACAAAATATACTGATTTTTCAATGTTCAATAATGCATGCTAGAGTACTAGACGTTAACTAGTTATATTCTTTTCTGTTTCTAAAGTTTTAAATTTGATTAAAATATGTATTAATTGGATTATTAAGTTTAATTTGTTCGTACAAATTAAATCAAGTTTTGATAGAAACCTTTTTGGCAAATATTCATATAAGTATAAAAATTGTGACTGACGTGTGTAATTTTATGTGACCAAATGATTTCTAGATACTACTTTGATTGTATTAGAAAAATATATGAATAATCAAAATTATGCATCAAAACAAATACTAAAGTTTGACGTATAAAAAAGTATACTATATGAAATTGATTGTTTATCTAAAGACGGCTTTGTTTATCTGGTTGACTGTGATAGTTCATTATAGAACTTGTCGATTTCGATCGGTTCGAACTACTCAGTTTTTGGATTTCCCAAGTCCAAACATGATAAAATATATTACATGACTAATTAATCAAATGGAATGAAGGTATGGTTAGAAAAAAGATACGTGGGAGCTCGTCATACCTCGGAATGGTTCAATACAGCCGGAAGAAACGTTAAAACAGGACTCATTGCTAGTGTTATTGTCTCACAGGTAAAACTACGACTAATTATTATAATCAAATGTTATAAAGTAACATATGTATATATGACTCGATCGACGATAAATTTATGTATTAGTTATCGGTAAAATTTGGTTGAAAAATTGTTGATTTTTTTTTTTTTGTATTGGTGGATGAGTGAATAGTGGACATGGGCTGCGACCATACTTCAAAGTTCAAACGTAGCATGGCAGTATGGGGTTAGTGGACCGTTTTGGTACGCTAGTGGAGCCACCATACAGGTTAGTTTTCGAAGACGAAAACTATATAATATAATTTTTGTGTTTATATGGCAATATCTAGTGAATAATCGATGATGATTGATGAACAACGTAGGTGTTGTTGTTTGGTGTGATGGCTATTGAGATAAAACGAAAGGCTCCTAATGCTCACACGGTCTGCGAAATCGTGAAAGCTCGGTAAGTAAAATCTCAATAAAATGGACATTTGAATCAAACTGGATTGTTAATAGACCAAATCGCTCGAACATTAGTTTAAGGTTTATTATTATTATTTATTTATTTGATGGTTATTTTTTCGTATGTTTTTGATAAAATTTAGTTGGGGAACCGCAACACATATAGTGTTCTTGGTGTTTTGTTTGGCGACAAACGTCGTAGTGACGGCTATGCTCTTGCTTGGTGGCTCAGCCGTGGTGAATGCTCTCACAGGTGTTAATATATATGCCGCAAGCTTTCTCATTCCTCTCGGCGTCGTTGTCTATACTTTGGCTGGAGGACTTAAAGCTACTTTCCTCGCAAGCTACGTTCACTCCGTTATAGGTAATATATTACATATAAAATTATGTTATGAAAATTATATCTTAACGAACAAATTATAGCTTGAAAGTAGTTGTTTACAATCTTTTGGTAATTTGTTTGTCTTTTAGTTCACGTGGTTCTAGTAGTCTTTGTGTTTCTGGTCTACACGTCGAGTAGTGAGCTTGGGAGTCCGTCCGTGGTCTATGACCGGCTAAGAGACATGGCTTCTAAGTTAAGAACATGCACTGAGCCCCTTT